TACAGTTTCCTTTTGCTGTTGTAAAGACTATTTAAAAATTTATGTTAAGATTGCAAAATCAATAATTTAAACCAGAAAACATGAGATTAAGGTTCCTTCTGGAATATACATTTTAACTGCAATGCATTTTAATAGCTTTATTTGCATGATCAGAGACTTTATTCATGCTTTGGAGAGATTTAGAAATGTATACTAACAGACACCATTTTTATCGTGTCCATGCCTAGTTTCTGGTGTAAGTTGGAAGACAGGCAACCAATAAATCTGTACATATATTTGTGAAATATTTAGATGCTATACTGATAAGCATAATAAAAAAGCCCACAAAATACTGATAGTTCTGTCTTTAAAGCAGAATTTGAATAATGCAGTAAATGAAGCTTGTGGCTGCACATGAAACAGAAAAGCCAAACAGAACATTGAGTTGCCACCACTCAGTATTGTATCTGTCCATCCTCATCCACCCTGAAGGAGACAAGGGTCATGTAGATCAAAAATGTGACCATGTAGTTAAGCAGCACACAATAATACTCTTACACAAGAGAGAGCAAAGGTGCAAAGACACTAGAATATTGTGAATGCTTAATTTTTCCTTTTCCCAGAAGTCTTTTAACATTGCTTTTTGTGTATGTGTGTTAACAAACATTGGCTGCGGTCTCTAAAATGACTGCACGTGTAATTTCATGAAATAGAGATGAAATGTACCCAGTTGACAAATACATTTCCACTCTATCTCTCCCTTCTCAACACGAAATTGAGAATGAATAATCAGACTGGATTTTTCAATTCCCACCAAGCATTACTATAATTAATGTCAGCCTAAACAACTGTGTAACAGTAAGTGATCTTCAGGTGACTTGCACTGATGTAATCACCTGAGATTTAGAGGTAGTAATACTACATGTTATTTTTAGTGGTACAGCTGATTTCACAAGCCCCCATATTCTCACCCATATTCATACATTCTTGCCAGCTGTATGAAAACAATTATTCATAGTTCTGAATGGTAGAACATACCCATTAAAGCAATAAAGTAAGAAACCCTACACCACCAATTTTTTAAAGGTTAAAAATAATACAAAAGGTTTCTTTAAAGTAAAATTTTACCTGTAGAAATACCATTCTTCTTCAAATTTTCAATATAATCATTGCCAAAGGAATCCTTTCCAACCTATACAAAAGATAAAAGGACAGGTTTTCTCTACAGAAAGGCGAGACGATAGAGATCATCTTTACACAACAGAATTCTCTGATGTAATTTGAATGCAATACTTTCTGTTTTGCAGCACTTTGCCTTACTAATAAACAAGTAATAAACTAATAAAAGTAAAATGTATTAATAGTGCTAATAAACAAGAGGAATAGAGTTCTGCTGTTTTCTTCTTTATTACAAGACTTTCCCCCCTACACACATGTTGCTATATTCAAGCTTCATTCTCTTACAACCACTGTTAACTTGACCCTGGAGCTTTCTGAGGGCTGTAAAACCTGGAAGTGTACTGAATTATTCAGCTTTGAATTGAAAGCATTTATAGCAATTCTGGTGTGCTTCTTAATTGCAGTTCATGTTTCAAATCTTCTATCTCAAGTTTCCTTGGTGGAAAAATATCAAACTGTGGTTATAGGACAGAAAGTGACAATAAACATGGTATTGCTGATTTCTGTAATTCTCAGTACCGAAAGTACTGTTTACAAAATCAGTATTTTTGTTTGCTTTATCCAACAACAGCAGATTAAGTTGAATTAGGGACTCAAGATATGCTCTATTGTTTCTCTAACAGCAAGTTAAAGAGCTTGTAATTTCAGCTCCACTAATGCTTCTAACTGAACAGAACTCTGCTTGCTGTTTATTCAAAGTAATAAACATTTCTTTTTTGCTACATTACACAAGCTGAACAAAGAAGATTAGGTATATGGAGAAAAATAAATTATATAACTTGCTTAATGTCAAAATAGAATTTAAAATATACTTATAAAGCCAACACAGCTTTTCATTCACCACTTTTAGCCTACATCTTCAGTGTGCAGAGCATGTGCTCCCACTTTGAAGAGTAAGTTGTGAATCTGAGTGATATCAAAGACTGAACAATGTTATAGGAAGTATTTTTGCAAGAGAAACCCCCCCCCTAAATATTGCAGATTAGAAGCCAAATCAAGATTCTGGCCATGGTCTAGATATTGAAGGAATTACATGAGGAGCCCTAACTAACGATGCATCTTCTCGTAAAACAGCACTAAATAGCTAACAGTTATTTGAGCTACTGGAAGGAAGCACAAAGCAGCTGCCTCTACTGCCTGCTGTTAGAAATGTATCTGCTATGAGCTCAGTCCTTCAGAAAGGCTGGAGAAGACCCGAGTGCTAGCTAGTGACCATAACAGTCAAACCCTGCCATCCAGAATTCTAAAATTTCAAGTGTCACAGAGGGATGATTCCTCCTCTCATGTATTCTTGCTGCACAACCACGTTTGGAAACGTACTCTCATTTCCTACAACCACTATAAGGGATTTTTCTAAAGCATTACTAGGGGTGGCCTCAGTCTTTTACCAAAGGAGGACAGCAATTTAGGTAAAAACAGTCTAACCAGATGGAACATTCCTCTAGGACATGGAAAAAACAAAAACAAACCAAACAACATTTACTTCGGTCACTGTGTTATTCATTGTTTGCATGTTAGAGTATTTCTGTATCTCTGACTACTCCCAGTTTGCCAGACAGGGCGGGTTGTCAGAAGCTGCATCTTCTGACTGCTTTAGGCTGGATGACTGCAGACATCTGCAATTTAAACCCAAGTCGTGCTCACCTCTGCAGCCCAACAGTTGTAGTCATGGAATGTGTTCCGCCTGATGGTATCACCTTCTCCCTCCCTCGTTGCTACAAAGCTTCTACAACAAATCTCAGGATTTGCTTGGTTATTTCAGCAATGAAATATTTCATAACCATTTTCCAAAAGCTCAACTGAAGCTTCCTTCCTTCAGCTCTGGGTCCTACATAACTGACAGACAGGCATCCCTTATTGTTCAACTGTCATAACAACTGAGATCAGCCGTGGTTCTGTTGCTCACGGCGAGACATCTCAGTGCTGGAGGGAAGCCCTTGGAGGGGTCTCCACGGAGGTCCTTTTCCTCTGGAAACTTTTTTCCATGTTAGTTCATCAGCATCCAACCCAGTTAATCTTAGTGCATTTGAAGGGCTCATCTTTCCATTCAGGCTTTACCCCCAGAGTATTGAGCATCAGACTCATTTTAGATTAAAGGCATATTTACTGACCATGTCAAATTATATAACATTGTTCTAAATATTTTCTGCTTTTGCACAGACCCTGCTGGACGGACTGTTGGGTAAACAGAAAAATAAATGTCTTAGGCTGCTGACCACAGAACATGGTATCTGCTGAGACAGCATTTCTTCTTTTTTGAGTTCTTGACAACAATAGCCATTTGTAAAAGCATAACGGTCACGTAGTTTGCATATTAGAATGAGTAGAGTGGAATTACCTCAGTATTTTTCAGTCTGGGTTTTCCCTGCTTATTATCATGTTTTCCATGTGGAGCTAGGGGAGCTGGCTGGCATCATAGCAGCTAAAATCACAGCAGCTGATTCTATCAGCTTAGAGAATCAAACTCATCTGTACCAGAAAATTAATTACCAAACCAAAAAATCTAGCTCTTGACAATTGTTTGTTTAATCTAGTCTATAATCCCCTTTTTTTTTTTTTTTTGAGAGTGCTTACTCTTCTTCTTCATTAGGGAATTCAACAGGTACAAAAGACAATACAAGCATAAAACAGTAATACAGAAAGAGAAAACAACTGAAGATATCCATCACATTCTGGGCTCCATCTGAGACACTGCTATGTTCTCACAAGAAAGTGTGGGTTCAAGCCTACATCACTTTAATTTGGCTTACAGATCATTTAAAGAGAAACTACATAGCACAGTAATATAGCACTTCCTATTTCTAAGTAGGAATCAAATGCTGGGGCTTGTACAGAATTTAGTATAGGCAGTATCAGCTGAGTGACATCAGTGTCCAGTGAGGATCATTCCAAACTGTCAGAAGAAAACCAGGACTTTCTTCAGCACATGCAATGTCAAAAAAATCAAATCCAAAACCCAAAAACCCCACGTAGTTTGGAATCTCTCAAGACCACTGTGCATTTTTCAGTACTGCAACAGGGTTCTCATATGAACATGAGCAATTAATTTATTTGCTTAGATCCTTTAGTTCCGTGAGAGTGATCCTCTATATTTCTTTAAACAACTGTCTTTCTTGTCTTGTTGAAGTGGCAACTGTTCCATCAATACATGGTTTTGCTATACTGAGCAAACTGAGAAGGGGAGTTTAAGACTGATACTGTGATACATTTTGGTAACTCAGGGTCACAGCGGCCACTGGACGAGATATCTAGGCAGAAAGGAGAACACTGTTTGCACTTCCACTACTCAAACTCAGTACTTGGATTTTACATTAAAACCCACAGCATTCTGTGGCACCTTTAGTCATAACTGTAAGTCATTCTAAAACTCCCTCTCTCAACCCTCACCAGATAATCATTGGCTCTCTTTTGTGTTGTAAAGCTCTGAGGTGTGAAGAATGCCTTGTCACTTGATCTGAGATGTCTACCTCTCATTAAGAACATCCTCTGTATAAATCACAGTTCTCATAAGAGGATGCCACACTCCAGCAGAATGTCCCTCTAGTATTAATTCCTCCAGTCCTTGAACTTCAGATTGTAGACACAATTGTTGGGATTTATGACCAAAACAACATAAACATGTACTGAGCAGCATGTGTGTGTGAGGGGAAATCTGGCTTTAAGACACCCTGGTTATCTAAGATGGCTTGATAAGGTGAAAATAATTGAATTGTAATGGTGCATTATTGCCTAACTCTTCTTAGTTTATTCAGCAAGAAACTTTATGCTACATTGCATTACCCTGTGCAGATAGAAGACTGTACCACTATGAGATGAGGCTATTTTGTAAGGCTATAAAAGTGCATTTTTCATATCAAAAGGAAATATAAACTTTTAAATATTTATAAGTACAAAATGCTAACATTTATCGATATTACAGTCGTTCTCTGCTGTTTCTCTTTGCCAATAAATACACATCAGAAAGATGGACAGAAGACTAGGTTTTACTGACATAACATAAACATGATTTTGGAAACTAATTACAAATTATAGTAACTGCTAAATTTTATTAGGATTGCAAATGTTTCCAGAAACATGTATGCACTGAGCAAAGGGTAGACCATTAAAAAATAAAAATAAATTCACACTTTTAGTGGAAAAAAAACCCCTTTAACATTTAGCAGGAAATGTTAGCAGGAAATTCATTGCCAGTTCATCTTGTACTTGAATCTGATCACTCTTGAATGCAAAGATGATGAAATACACACAACATTACAGAAGCAAAAATGCTGCCAATGTAAAAAAACACCCCACACTGTGGTGACAATGGCCCACAGAAATGCTTGCAGGTGTAAGTCAGATTTATAGCTACCACTCTTTAGGTTAAATATTACGTTGGAAAACCAGTAAAAAAGGCTTCCTTGAGGTGTTTCCACTAATTTTCAAAAAATCCCTGACAGACAATGATCCCACAAATCGAGTATCCTCACCAGCAATGACAATAACAAAGTACGTCCAGTCAAGTTGAAGTTTCATCTACAGTTAGCATAGGACAGACAATTGGACTACAGAGAGTTCTTAACTGTAGCAATGATCATTTAAAACTTAGAAAATTTAATGACAAAAATCAAAGAAAAGCACTGTAAGAGTATAGCATGTCCCAAGCTGAATCAGCCTGCTGTTCTGACAGCCAGTCTTTAGAACTGCTGTGTATCAAACGTTTCAGAAAAGAGAGCAAAAAAGTCCCAAAACATGCAAAGCTTCTACAATTTGGATGTGAACTTCTCAAGTAATGAGATAATGATTTAACCCTTGAACCACAAAGTTTTGCATTCCTTCTCAGATTTTTTACTAGCTTGTCAATATTTGATTTTTAATCACCTACAAAGTAAATTTCAGACTGACTAGAGTGCCTAGCACCAGAATGTCATCAGTGAAGCCCTGATCACTGTTATAGTGAGGAATATAAAGAGGAAGGGGCTAATCAAGGTTACTTGAATTTTGAACATCTCATATTCTCTCCAGTCCTCTTTTCTGTGGTACATCAATCTAAGTTTTGCAATCCTTCTTTACATGCAATTTCTGCCAGATCTCTAGCTAACTAGTCTTTGGTTCTAGCAGTGATCTTAAAACAGCCTCCTCCATGCTTAGATTTACAGGTGAAATAATGAGAAGAAAAGAGAATTAAAGAGGAATTTAAAACAACAAAAAACCAACAACTTTTCTGTAAGTCACTTAAAGGTTTACCGGAATTTGCATGAACATTTAGTTCAGCTATAACTCAAGAGTAAGTTGGTGCTTACCTTGCAGATCAGTGAGGTCTTGGCCCCAAGTCGAGCAGACTGGACACACTGATTGGCTCCTTTCCCACCAAAACCAATGAAAAATTTATGTCCAGTGATAGTTTCTCCAGTTCTTGGCAGTCGCGTAGTAAGGCTATTCAAATTTAAGGCAATATTTATACACATTAGTGACTGCAAATAACAAGCATCTTCAAAATAAAAGTTACATTCTTATAATCCTGAATGGCCCAACGGCCCACTAGTAAGAATGAAAAAGACTCAAAAGACCTTTTAGGGTCCCTTCTCCACAATCTGCCAGTTTCAGTTTGTTCCTTAGGTGTTCTCCAGTCAAGCTTCCTGTTTAGCACTCAAGAAAGGGATTCCATTTCTTTCTTTGTGTTTCCTGTGTCTACAGGAAAAGAAGCACCTGATTGCTCACTGGAATTCCCCAGTGCTAACTCAATACAGATAAATAATAAATCTATGGGTCTCACGGCTAATTTTGTTTTACTGTAGCATTCAGCTCAAGTTTACATATTGTTCACTTAATTTCATGACATCTAATTATGTCTTCTTGAACCACTCTAATATTTCACTTTGTTGGTGTTCACACACCCCAGAATCACAGATGGTTATCAAAACCTTCCTCCCCTCTGCTGTCACTCAGGTACAGTGTACATATTTAACTTTTTTTCAAGTTTCTCTCTTACAAATCAAGCTCTACAATTTCTCAGCATTTTGCTGTTTCTTGAACACAGCCCAAGCACATTTACATCCTTCTGGGGATGGGTGCCGAGAACCAGATGCACTAATACAAGTGGAGACCCATCAGGAGTGTATTGCAGTTTAATTTCCATTTTGGAAAGAACAAAACAAAACTGTAATTTTGTTAACCCTATCAGATGCTTTGCTATCTCCAGCAAAAGTTGAAAGGAAAAAAAAGACACCACTGAGACTATGCAGAGGAATTTCTCTGAATGCAAAAGGCCAGCTTACTTTTGCCACTTCTATTAAAATACATCACTCAAAACTGTGTTTACAACTCTCAGATTACCAAAATTTCTGCTTCCTCGAGCCATGCATTCTGGGAATGAGGTTTAAAAATGTAATTCCTTCTATCTCTTAAGCTCCAAACAAGATCACAACATGTGTGGTGGAAAGGCCTCCTACAATGTACTAGCAACTAGTTCAGTCAATGGCAGTTATCTCAGACAGGTTTCCAAAAGACTGCAGGAATTAAAAGGAGAGTGCCAAAGGGGATTTTGAAAGAATTCAGAGGAATCTGCCCTAATTTCAGTTAATCAATTCATAACATTATTTTACCAATAAATCTTACAATAGCTTCAAAATTCCCAGCCCTCCCATTCAGAAAAAAGGTGACATGCTTCTGCACTGGCAAGTCCCCACAGAGTGCTTCCTGAAAGGGATATGAAGAATACATATATAATACTTTCTGACAGCATAGCCTGATTTACTGAAAAGTCTCAGGAAAAAGCAAATGTTTTTTGCCTACTAATTTTCAATTCCACCATCCATCAATCTAGAGGTTTAGGATCATTAGGAAATCCAGAAAACCAAAAATTAAACTAGAAAAGCCAAACAAGTCCTCAGCTCCCAGAAATTAAGATTTTTGTTTTGAAGGATTAGTTACTGTGCTTTACCAGTAGTTCAGTTTCTGGAGTGACACAGGTAGGGATGCAGACTCTAAATAGGGATGCTTGCCCTAGATTTTAGTGTGAGGGGATGGTACCCAGCCAGTGCATTTATTTTGTGTGAGTGACCCCAGAGAAAGGCCAGAAGGCTCATGCTTACAGCTAATGGCAGTCATTTTGTTTCCAGAGAGACAGAGCTGGGAACATTCTGTTGGGAAATGTCTGAACCCTTTTAAATAGAAATACAATAGCTTTTTAGAAGTAAACATATATATATATATGTGTATGTGTATATATATTTATATAAAAAGGGTTGCCAAGTTAAAACTGTTTGCCCACAACAGCATTTGGCACACTGTTTACAACAATGAGAAACTGTTAATTTTTAGGGAAAAGGGTATAATGAGTGTAGATAAATGTCCATTAATGGCAACATCTATAATTTATTGCCGTTTTCAATATTGGAAGCCAAAGTAGCAATGGCTGTGGCCCAGAGAATGAAGACCTCAACACTCAGCTAAGGAAGCTCCTATTCAGCCAGTGCCAGGGTACTGCACACACTTCTAAAATGATGTGGCATTCAGTAAAGAATAATTGTTTGACCCATCCCTGGTAAGAAGTAGTCACAGCAGCCCTTGTATATTTCCTTTCATCCACAGATTTCACTACACTTTAAAAAGTAGAACAATATCATTATTCCTGTTTTGTGGGTGTGAAACTTGGGCAAGTCATTTTGCCTTTTTGTACCTTGGATCAGCCAAGAAGCCAGTGACAAAACCGAAGATTGAGATCAGCTCAATCCACTAGCTCACATTGTCTTCTCATTTCATTTCTGCAGTATGAAAATGGCATCAGTCTCAATTAATTTTCCTTCCTTAGGGTGTTTTTCAGAGATTATAGCTTATTCTAAATACAATCTGTTTCCACAAAAAGCTAATGTATTTTTAGACAAAGATTAACAATTGCGACATGCCAGCAGACATCTGCTAATAGCACTGTGCTGAGTTCATACGTGTTTTCAAGGAGTCCATTCAACCATACATGTTCTGGCTTTAACAGTGACCAGACTGTGACTTGATTCTTCTCTCAGCTATGTTGGCATCAACATGCAACTCCAATGGAAGCACCATAACTGTGCTGGTGAAAAAACAGGCTTGGTGAGATGAGAATCTGGGCCTCAGTGTTTCAAGCAGCACGGCATAACAACTGCCTGCGGGAATCAAACAGCTTGTAGAAGATGGGGAGATGACCTTCTTTATTGTTTTGATGGAAAGGTAGAAGGGAAAGGGCAAGGGATCAAGTTGGAACAGTGACTTATAATTAGCCAATTTTAAAAATAGGCCAACAGTCTAGGCAAGAACATGCAGCACGTTCCTGTAGCTCACTGTAAACAAAAAACCCCACCTTACTACATTTTGGGCACGATTGCCAATACTTTCAGACCAATTCTCCACTCCAGAAGCCTATTTTTATTTTCCATACTAAACAGATTCACAGAACTAATCTACGTATAAGCCTGGAGGTTTCAATTTCACTGAAACAGGTATCCAAGAATTATTTTTTTTGCTAATATAATGTTATTCTCTTGTCATTTAGTTCTGTAACTATATTAACTTTTGATTCACATCAGACAATTTTAATGAGCATTTCAGGCTTCTATTATGAGCAGGCAATGATGAGTAATCTGTATGATTAAGGAATTCTATAAATTCTTGGCTTATTGATGGTGCCACAAAGAATACTCAAAATAGCCTAGAAGTGATGAAACCACTGATGTTACACCGAAACTAGGCTAAATAAATTAATTAGAAAAACTGTCACACGGGCTTTTAAAACTGGTACACAAAATGTTTTGTAAAGCCATTTATAACTTTGACATAATTTGAAAACACTGACCTGAAAAACCTAATTTAAGTTGCTACCCAACAGACTACTCTGCTTATGTGACAAATCCTGCTCAGCTTTGAGAGGATAAATGGTACAAAGTGTATTGCGCTCCCATGTTTTATGAACAACCAGAAACTAGACTTGAAAACCCCCAGCACTTATAGATGAGAAATAAAATTACTATATAATGTTTGGCAAATAGTGCATCATACTACTGAACCATATTTACAGAGAAAAGTTCAGACTGAAGCATCCTGAAATACTTTGGACACTACAAATAAAGGAATAGAACGACTCAGAATTTAAACTGAGTTTTTACAAAACAATATTTAGAAGTGCACAGCAGTGCTGCCTGCATTTGTTCATGGGAAATGAAGAATCTTACATCCACTTATGTTTCAGAGGTTTGGGATGAATAAAAGTACATACGTAAGAATTCCAGCACTGCAGCAACTTCAACCCTCTCTTCCAGTGTGACACAAGTTCCCTTGGAGGCTAGAGCTGATAAGCACTTGTATTTTTAGACAGACATCCCTTCAGAAATATGGTGTTAGAAAAGGAACAGAACCCTTTACTACTATGCTGAAGCACTGACTCTGAGGTGAAAGCCCAACTTCCTGAGTCATTAATGCACCTCTCCCTCGTATTCTGTGTTTTCTTGAAAAGCTCCCTTCTAAGCAGTGACTAGATGGGAGATAGAAAGTCTGAGGAAGGCAGTAGGGCAAAGGGAGAGATGTATATTAGTGGCATTTGCATAAATTAATCCTGAAATTAGCCATGGTTTGCTTCCAATTTTTGACAACTAAGCAGTGTCTGTTCATTGTTTTCAACACATGAAAGTACTATAAAGATGTATTATTACTGTTAGCTTAAGCTGATGTAAAACCATGCCCTCCCCTCAGCAGCATTTTCTCACTGTTTCTCCTGCACTGCTTTTATTGCTTGTGGAGCTTCCCAACTAAAAATATTTTTGTTCCAAGAATCATTTTAATTTGCATTAGCAAATTGGTCCAACTTACTGTACAGCAGCCAGAGTGGGCCAGAACTTGCAAAATTTGAGGAGAAGGTGAGTGAGGGGAGGAGCAGGAGTACATTTGCTGGCAGCAGTACAGCCAGACTGCCCTAACTCAATCCTGAAACTTTGCCTTGATCCTACTTTTTATGTTGAAAACACTGAATGCTATGTAACTAAGGTTTAATTAAGTAGTACAGTATACTCAGCTCATCACTCATATTGAAGAAAAACATAAATTATTAGTATGTTTCTGAGAAATGATGTTCAAGAGAAAGGCAAACAGAGAAGCACAAATATATTTCTAAAAAAAGGACAATATTAGGTATCACGCTATCTATGGTGACTGCCATTTACACAGGATCAAAAGAAACATTCAGCCTTTGCTTTTTATCCCTGAAGAAATGTGGAGATAATCAGGGGTATCAAAATAGTACCAGAAATATAGCATTTAAAAGTGTCTTAATAAAAAAGGAATAATGTAAAGGTCTAAAATTCGGCTTTGATTCTGTTCTCTTTGAATCCCTGAACAACACTGGCTCTTTCTCTGCTTCTGGGAATTCCCTAGAAGGGGGAAAATCCCTGTGAGATTCGAGTAGGTGTAACAAGCTACTGTCTAGTACATATAATTTACTGGGCTT